CCACTCTGATCGTCTACGGAATGGATGATAAAGTAATACCTGCAGGTAATTTAAAACAAATTGCTTGCGTAATATAAAAAAAACTGTCCATCACTTTATTCAAGACGAAATCTTTCCGTTGTCTACTCACTTGCTAAACTACTTATCCAAGTGTATCTTCAACAGTAAGGTAAAAGCGTGTCATTTACCTTCCTTTTAATTCGTCGGGACAAATATTATATCGTTTGTCAAAAGAGATATTTGCATAATGTCGCCACTATCAAACCTTTTGTTTCACAGTCCCCACATACAATAGATTAAAAAGCTCTTGAGGTCTCGAGATCGAAATTCGAGATGATAATATAACACACATTTTATATTGCCAATTCTATTTATTGAATTGATGTGTGGCACGGAAAGCTGTTTACCTAAAGCCATAATTTCAGATCTGTTTATCAAAGGAAAACAGTCAGAATTTGATATGATCCTACGTTTCTCGCTTGAATGATCAGTAATATAGTCATTATCTGCTACTTTTGACGAAGGTTAATTATTTTTAAGTTAGGAGCTAGTCATTTATAAATCAACTTGTACTCTCCTTTCAAGAACGGCCGTTTCTTTACTCCTGCAAAACTTTGGGGACATCGTGGGTTGATTTCACGTAACAGATTTTCTTGTGAAATTCATGAGATTTCACGGGTTAAGCAATCAATTGAATTAGCTTTGTGTGCTTTACGCTGGGGAGAATGAAAACGGAGCCGGGTACCTCAAAGATGCCGTTTGGGCTTACGTGTACTTAGTCCTTAGGAGGTGACGCAAATCCGCGTTGATTTCCAGCCCCCATGATCCCGCGTAAGGCGATGTCCAGCACTCGCTACAGTTCACATTGTGCGCCCTTTTTATGTCCGATCTTTCCGCTACACACTGACACTGTAGATTTGTTCGGCATCCGCTCACCCTGAGCTCTAATTTGATTCTCACTTAATGAGGGTTGTTATTGACCAACCAGTGAATGTGCTAATAACTTCGTAGTCACTTACGAAGAAGTAAGCGACGATACTTCGCATATCTGATGGAACAGGATGCAGCTGTAATGCAGCCGAACAAGTCTGTACGATAGAAATAAATATGCAGTTCTCTCTCTCATAGCCGAACACTTTTTCATTAGTATCCCCTTGGTAGTCACGCCACCTGATTTGTTCGCCTCTTCGATTCTCATGTACGTTATAAGAGACGAAAATTGGGGAGGATTGGCCTGCCTTTTCACCCAACTACCTTTTACTCAACTCGTCCACAGGTGGCAGTTGGTGGAACTGCTTTTTGTTGACGGTTGGCTAAAAATTAAGCGGATTTATTATGAACGAATAAGTAATCTTGAATTACCAAGAACGGTGCTGCTGGCAGAATTCGAGAAGTTCAGCTCTGGTCATCCGACTCCTAGAAAATGTGTCTGAACAGTTGATGTTCACAGCTTTAGGATCAATCATAGGTTCTCCTGTACCGCCTAGACGCGCACTCTTTAGCTTTGCCCGTATCTACGTCCCGCACATATCCATAATCATAATATCTGTGCTTTATCATTAGAATACGATTGCTGTGAACTTCACCTCATGCAACCATCAAATGTCGTACAGAAAAACTGGCAATAACCCGAACAAGTAGGTCATTAGAATAGGTCAGACAAGTGTTCTCTTTCCCGGATTTCTTCAAAAGTTAGTTGTCCGCAACGAAATTTGCGCGGGCAACAGGTTCTACAGACGATGGTGAAAGTTAAGACTGAAGCAGTTATTTTGGGTGTTCTATTGTCGTCAGTCAACCGCACCTTTATTGCCGGCGTGGAAGACCCGAACCAGTAGCAGCGCTGGCCTCTGCTTTCCTAAAACGTTAAATTCGCTCAGCGAATTGACTCGGGTTCGTATCTAAGGCCTTCTCTGCCCTGTGCTGATGACGTCATTCCTGAAACTGAAATGCTTCGCCAGAGATTTAGATGCATTCTGGCAGTGTGCCAGTCGAACTGTGCTACTCCATTCATTGGCGGTATTTGGTCTTGGTTATTGAATGCTGGAAATTATGTTACCACCCGTGAGGCCTTGAGCCCGAAACTCCATAGCAAAACGCGATGCCGTTTCATCCCGAACAGATCCACATATTTGACTTGACATGTGTAACGGAAGCAGGCATGACATAATCTTCTTTTTACTCAGACGCCCTTTACTGAATGTGTATCTACTCTTTTGCTGTTCCTCCTGTAAAAACTGTTCCCGGATGTTTTCGACTGAAATTAATCTCTTTGGATGCTATCAAGAACAGTTTATACAACCAGGTAAACTACTGAGCAGGTGTTTAGGCTAAATTAATTACTGCATGATGTAAAAAATCGCAAATTACTTTTCCTGAAGGTCATAGGATGTAAGAGGTCGGCAAGCGGGTAGGTTATTTGATATATTTTCTATCATAAGTCATCTTACTGGTACATGGAGGAATCCCTTCACGGATGTCACGGATAGCAGCGGCCCATTGGCAGCGATCAGAAGCGATCGTGAGTCATCACGTCCAATCGTCTCTAATTATTATTAGTTCGAAGATGTTTAGTATCCCACGATCTTCTCCGGAAGGTTTTTAAAACCAAAAAAATTTTTCCCGGACCTTTGCCAAAGTGCACATTAAAATTAAATATTTTAATTTTTAGACATGACCAAAGAACTACTGGATGTCTATGAACCTCCACACACTACGCTGGTTCATCCCGGTGGTCATCGTATTCCAACAAACGCAGAGGCGAAAGCAGCCTATCGCAGTTTCTTGGACCGGTTCAGATCGGAGACTTGATTGTGAGGAGAGTATTTTTAGGATTTTTGCGGACTGTGGCGCCTGTGCAATGTTTTGCACCGCCTGACTTGAGCCAAACAAGACCTGGTTGTTTGTAGTTTGTGGTTTTTTTCTATCGAATAAAGTCGGCCTACTTTTTTATTCCAGTAGGCTATTAACAGAAATTTCATCTGTCCGCAGCGTTTTGGCATATTTCGACCTGATCTAGTTCCCCAACTAGGTGTTCAAGATTTTAAATTTTTAGGGGGCATAAACATGTTGAAGGGGTTTTTTATGCGTGCGTGTCCCCTTTAACCGGACTAGGTGATCTAGAATTTGCCGATGTCCTCATTGTTTAATTCCTTAATTCAGTAGCCTTGATTGGTTCGTTCAAATACGTTTCTGGTGTTTATACGTTTCGTTTGCTTTTTGGGCAAAATCGTCATTTGTGCAGGCCGCCGTGTATACTTTGCTTCCTGTTCACTTCAGATAACCTCTTAGAACATGCGAAGTGAGCCAAGTTAAACTACTGGTGGCGTAGTAGATACTAGAGGGGGTTAACAGATTTGAATAATTCCTTTGATCCAATTGTGAAATATCCGCGGCCTCGGCGGGAGTCGAATCCACAAAGCAGGGAAGGCTTTTGCGCAGCCAACGCTCTACCATTGGGCTACGAGGCCCACCGTGCCTCGGGAATTTAATCACACTTGCGTCGATTTTACCCGCCCAACTTACTGCTTGTATGGAATCCACCATCACGGAACAGCAAACCGATTGCCTAGGCAGGATTTCCTAAGCAGTCATTTAGAATCCACCAGACTGACTGCTAAGCCAATTTATTATTAGGGGGGTTGACAGATTTGAGTAAGTCAGTTGACCCAATTGTAGGTTGGGCGGGTTAATTGACCCAAGTCTGATTAAATTCCCGGTGCAAGGTGGGCCTCGTAGCTCAATGGTAGAGCATTGGCTGCGCAAATCCTGCCCTGTTGTGTGAGTTCCACTCCCACCGAGACCGCGAATTTTTCATATTTGGTTCAACTGAATAATAAATATATTAATTTACCACAGATTGTATTAACTAGGGAGATTAAGGATTTCTGCCGCCTTGAGAACATTAATTCGTCCTCGAATTTCTTTAAAAATGCAGTTAACACAAGAATTAAGAATTTAACGTACAAAGGATAGCACTATATGCTTTGGCCTAATTGTATAGTAGAATACATCCGCTCTGCTTGTGTTGCGCTAGGGGGACTACAGTAGAAATCTTGACGATGCGGAAGTTGTATTATTTCGTAAGCTATGACTTGCCCACTGTACAAATGACTAGTGCGAGGAAGCCTCGTCTCAAAGCCTCCATTTCTTAGGTGCCTACTTGTTTTAAATTGGTTGGGTTGTTTTTGACGCCGGTGTTTGCAGACGTTGGTTTCCTCCTTCTAGCTGTGATGATTTGAAATTAATGAAACTTTTAATTCTCAGTTCCTCTTTATGCTCTCTGCGTCGGCGATATCTTGGAACGTATATAGAAATTTTGTAAAGCTTCAGACGGGACGGATATCGTTTCTAGAAGACCTTCGTTCCTCGGCGCTCAGTCCATTAATTTGTCCTCTATCACCTTCATTATCTGTTGCACGATTTCATCACACAACTGGTCAGGCACCCAGGTTTTGGCGATATCCTCCAGCGCTGCGACAATGTCCGAGGTCGGTATTTCCACGGGATCCTTGATGCCGGCCGGTTTTGCGCCCGCAACAACCGGCTGTCCGCTGGCACTGTTTTTCTTCAGCCAATAGCGACACTCCTCGCGCACTCGGTCGCACCATCCCAGTTCCTGCAGTCGCGCGGGCATGTAGGAGAGAAGGCGGTGTGTTTCGCCGCTGGCATCCATGACACT